AGCCAAATCGGTTTCGGCTGAAGCTGTCTTTAACAAGGTTCTAGCCATTGACAAACATATAAATATAGTTATTTCATTTAAAGCTGTTTGATATAGTTAGTATGTATTATTTGATATAGAGTGACACAGCTAATAAATATTCATTTGCTATGAAATTAGGTCCCAATATTTTCTTAAATAAGGGAGCTGAGTTAATAAGGAACTACCTTATTCTTTCTGTCTTTTTTCTATTTTTCCCTACTTAGTCTAATGTCTAACTGTCTATGAATATTTGGGGATATTGGCAAATTATTTAGACTTGACAGTCTTCTGAAGATGCTGGCAGGAATATATTGCTGAGTTTGTTCTTTTGAACAATGAAAAGTGAGAGTAGGGGAAGTTGTACAATTTATGATACAAGTAAAGAATTTTAAAGTAAGTTTTGACTTGAATTTAATAATTTGTTCTGAGGGTATAAATATATTTTTATAATAACACTAAAGTTTGATTTTTGTTATTAGCGTGAATTTTACGACATGGGAAAAATAAAATTACAGTGTTTTATAGTATAACTCTAACTTGTTAACACAAGTTATTTTTCTTCTCCTGGAGTTAAGATGTCAGGGAAATTATTTTTTTAAATAAATCTTTATTGTTCATATTATTACAAATGTTCCTCTTTTTTCCCCCCTCCATTGCTCCCCTCCACCAGGTTCCCACCCCTCGCTTTTGCCCTTTCCCCACCCCCCATTGTCCTCATCCATAGGTGCACAGTTTTTGTTCAGTCTCTTCCCGCACCTCCCTCTCCCCTTTTCCCCGAGAATCATTAATTCACCCCTTCCATACCTCTGATTCTATTATATTCACCAGTTAATATTGTTCATCAGATTTTTTAATTCCTTTGGTTTTTAGATTCACTTGTTGATAGTTATGTATTTGTTGTTCATAATTTTTATCTTCATTTTCTTCCTCTTCCTAAAGAACCCCCTTCAGCAAATCATATAATTCTAGTTTGGTGATGATGAACTCCTTTAGCTTTTTTTATTTGTGAAGCTCTTTATCTGACCTTCAATTCTGAGTGATAGCTTTTCTGGGTAGAGTATTTTTGGCTGTAGGTTCTTGCTGTTCATCACCTTGAATATTTCTTGCTATTTCCGTCTGGCCTGCATGGTTTCTGTTGAGAAATCAGCTGACAATCGTATGGGTGCTCCTTTATAGGTAACTACCTGCTTTTCTCTTGCTGCTTTTAATATTCTCTCTTTGTCTTTTGCTCTTGGAATTTTAATTATGATATGTCTTGGTGTGGTCCTCTTTGGATTCCTTTTGTTCGGGGTTCTGTGCGGTTCCTGGACTTATCTTCAACTTTCTGGATTCTCTTGTCTTCTTGCTTCTGTGGAGGAGTGTCTTCTCGCTCTTTATGTTCCAAATCTTTAACTTGATTCTTGCGATCTTCCATTCTGTTTTTAGGACTCTGTATAATATTTTTTTTTTAATTTCAGACAATGTATTCTTTATTTCTAGTTGATCCCTTTTATTTCTAGTTGATCCCTTTTTCATATCCTCATATGTCTCGTTTATTTTATCGGCCTTTTCTAGGAAATTCTTGAAAAACCTTATAACCGTGGTTTTGAACTCTATATCCCGTCACTTTTAGTCCTCCTTTTCTTTTGTTTGTCATCTGTATCCTTGGGTTGGCATTTTCACAGCTTCCCTGAGTTGTAGGGTGGCTTTGTATGCTAAGGTGTTCTATATGGTTCAGTGAGTCAACTTCCCAGTTACTTGAGGTGGACACTCTTGGTGCACCCCTTTGTGGACTGTGTGTACAATCTTATTGTAGTTAAGTCTTGATTGTTGGTATCACTGGGAGGAACTGACCTCCAGCCAATTGGCTGTGAGGATTAGCTGTGTCCATGCTGGGAGACAGCCTTATTCAACTAGACTTGGAAAATTGCAAAAGCCTCTGTGCTCAGCTTGGATGGGGCGGAGTTTCAGGGTGGAGCCTACAGCGTGGCTTCCTGTCAGCCCCGCCCTATGAGGTTCCTGAGTCTCAGTGTCCTTCAGTACTCGCTGCTTTGGTACTTACTGCAAGCACCTCTGAGAGAAAGGTGCCCTTGAGTCTTGCCCACTATCAGACAGTCTAGTCTCTCTCCCAATGAGCCTGGAACTGGGGTTCAGTGCAGTCCGGAGCTTTTGTCTCCTTCCTGCTAGGGCAATCCAGCAGCACAGTCAACAGTCCGTCCTCTTTGTGCAGTGTGCGCGCCTCTGGGACTGTGCCTTTCCCCACTCCCCTGAGTTTCCACCTTACAGCCCAGACTCCCTCCATATGAGCCTGGTCCCCAGGGTCTGGCCTAGAACTGGGGTTCAATGCAGTTGGAACTGGGACTCAGCACAGTCCAGAGCTTTTATCTCCTTCCCACTAGGGAATGCCAGCCAGGCACTCAGCCGCCCCCTCCTCTCCAGCTCAGTCCTCTTCCTACATGCGCACCATTGTCTCTGTACCTTAGGCCTTTACAGCTCCTCTGATTTTCCTTCTGGTTTTCTCTTTCCTTCTTATTGTAGAATTTCCAATCAGTCAACTTTCCTGTAGTTCTGGATAATGTCCATTTTGTATTTTATTGTATTTTTTGAAATTGTTGTGCGAGGCTGCCATTAGGTGTTTACCTATGCCGCCATCTTGGTTTCTCCGGGAAATTATTGTAATATTAGGACAAAAGTTGTACTTTCATTTAACTGCAAAACCCTGTTTTCCCTAGAAGTTCATATATATATATATATATATATATATATATATATATATATATTTGATTTTTTTACAGAGAGGAAGGGAGAGGGATAGAGTTAGAAACATTGATTAGCTGCCTCCTGCACATTCCTTACTGTGTATGTGCCCACAACCAAGGTACATGTCCTTGACTGGAAACAAACCTGGAACCCTTGAGTCCACAGGCCAATGCTCTATCCATTGAACCAAACTGGTTTTGGCTCCTAGAAGTTCTTAAGTTACTTATTTCTTCAAGATGTGGGCTATCTCATACCAAAAGTATAAACTTGTATTTCCTTTTCAAGGGTCTATGTTGGCAGTATCAAGCCTAGAGATTTTCATTTTTTTCTTATGATTTCTATCATTCTGAATATTTACTTTCTTAACTTTAATCTTGTTCTCTGCCTATAAGATTTAAATATGTGAACAATACATGCCATTGCCTGAATGTTTTTAACTTCTTGACATACTTGAACATTTTTAGCATCAGTCAAGTATTTATTAAAAGCTTTCTGTATTCTTAAGATTTATTGAGTATACAATTTAAACAATGAAATATATTCAATCTAGGATAGTTGTGGTAGAATAATTTAGAACAGCAATGTCTCTTTAGCCTTGAGTACTTACATTTCTCTTAAAGGGCAAAATGGTAAATATTTTAGGCTTTTTGGGCCATACAGTCTCTGTTGCATCTAATTGACTCTCCTGTAACTACAGAGCTACTCAGTTCTGTTGTAGTGTGAAAGTAGATGAATGAACTATAAATCACAAATAAATGAATGAACTTGATTAGGTTCCCAGTAAAACTTTATCTATGAAAACTGGTGGCTGATCTGCTAACCCATATTCTATAGCATCTTAACAAATAATATTCATAAGCTATTATGTGTGGGGCCCAAAAACATATTTTATTGTTGTTGAGGATAATTTGTAAAATCATGGAGAACCAAGGACTTCCTGTTTTAAAATGGCCCCAGCCTGCAGGACCCACGCCAGCCAAGCAGAGACACAACTGGTGGCTGGGTGGGGGGCGGGGCCAGAGAGAAGGTGTTGCCAGGCCAGCCAAGGCAATTGCCAGTGGGGACCCCCAATCGTCCCACTGGTCACCCCACATATTGGCCCTGATCACCAGCCAGGCCTACGGACCCCACCCATGCATGAATTTTGTTCATCAGGTCTCTAATCCTATATATTATAATGAATAGCTAATATGCTAATTAGACTGAACAGCAGAACAACCATCCAGACAACCATCTGGATAACTTTCCAGAGGAAGCCAGGGCTGCGAGGGCCAAGCCCCTTGCACAAATTTAGTGCATCGGGCCTCTGGTTTTAAAATAAATGCCAACCTCACATTTCTGCATGCTCTCTTAAGCTGGAAGGAGATAGGAGTTAGGATATTCACATGAAGGATGTAAAGTGTATTATATGCTATAGCTGTGTCAAGGGATGTGTTGTTGAAGAGTCCTGACTGTTTTCTTTGGGCTGATGGAGTGGAATATATTTGGCTCTGTGGCTAATACATGGTTTTATTCAGTTAATGCCTTCCTGCCCCCCTTCCTTCTTTATTATTTTTTGGAGCTGGGAAAATAAAAGGTACAAGGGGATAAATTAAGTAAATGGCAAGTCAGAAACAAATCCATTACTCTTTTTGAAGCTTAGTTTAATGTGAGAACCTAAATTTCAGATTTAATGCACTATGACAGTACTCTTTGAGGAAGTAGTGAAGGCATATATGTGTGTGACTGTTTTCCTTCTAGCAGCAAAAGATGGCGATGATGAAGGATTCAGGAATGAAGTTGCCTGACCAAGTCTATTTTTTAAAGGGGAGTGAATAGAAAGATCAAATGTTTACCCAACAACAGTAAATTCATGATATAACTACTTAATAACTGGTGATTCCTAGTAAAAGACATGATAAAAATCAGCAAGAGGAGGAAGCAGAAAGTATAGTTTATACTTGATAGCACTGAAAGCCAATATTAAGTGTTTTTAAAAGTAGATGAAAAACAATTTGTGTTATAGGTGTATATAAATGTGTTTGTATAAAATCTTGAAAACAAACCAAAATGTTCATTACTATTATCTTAGGATGACGGGAGTTTGAGAAATTTTTATTTTCTTTTATCTGTATTTTTTAACTTTTCTACAAAGAATGCATATTACTAAAGTACTCAAGATGCTGTTATTATATATGCTCACAGGTGCATAAAACATTTGTTATCTGTCCTGACTTGAGGTGTGTCTTTGTATTTTTTAGGTGCACCAAAGGCTTTCTTGGCAGAATTTGGGTGTTGTTTATTGCAGTACTGTTGTGCCCTCTGATGGTGAGTTTTGGCAAATCCATTTCTTATGTCTAATATATTTGTCCCCCTAAAGTCAACTATACACTCCTTTACTTAAAATTTGCTTGGAGTCATAGAAATAAAGAGGGTCCTAAAGAAGAGAAATGAAATCTGAAAGAGGATCTAATGAATTTAGATGAGAAATCAGTATGAAAAACTAACAGGCCCATTAAATTTTCATGGATATGGAATATTACTGTCTCGGTGTTTTGTTTTGTTTTAAACTGGGGACATAGTTAATGTGAAGCTCACAGAAGCACCATCTTTGGTATTTCTTAACCATTGGGTCTTCATTTAAGGGTAATACTAAAAAAACTCCAGCCCCTTTGCGGTATCTGAGCCTACAGGGAAGCAACTAAAAGTCTGAGACCCCTCCCCCCTTGTCTTTTTCTTCCCTTAGGCTCAAAGCTGTAATACTCTTCTTTGGTGGAAAAGAATGAACAGATGCTTGAGGACTGTATATGGTCCTTTGTAAATATCTATGATGCTGCAAATTGGCAACAGGATCAAAGTTTTGGTTGTTTAGAGGAGATATGTTTACTATTCTTTTTGTCATTTCTCTTACCCAATGTTGTACATTGACAGTTTAGATTATTTGCTTAAGATATATTTGTTAAATATATTTCCTCTGTGTAAAGCTTAGTTTGATAGAACTCTAATTTCAACCTTATAAGCATTGATTCTTTGGTAGAGCAACCATTGAAAGAGTACTCTGCAAATTTGTAAGAATACCAGATCAACTGTGAAACTCCTAGGATCCCTGTGTTTAATCAGTATTGATATTTGCAGTGTTTTCAGACACCACCCCCCCCCCCCCAAAGCTGTTTAGTTATCTGAATATATATGTTCATTTTTTTTGCTAAATTATCTAAACTTGGAGGAAATATCCATTTGTGATTACTCATTTGTAATATGGAAAGGTTGAAAGGAAAAATAGGCCAGAATCAAAATCAGGAAAATAATAGCTGGCTTTCTTTATCCTATCTCTTAGAAACATCAAGAACTGACAAAGTAATATTCGTATATAAATTAAAAAGCAGAACTCAATGCTTTGTTACAGCTGAGGACAGGTAGGTATGTTGACCCCAGTCAAAACTCAGTATGTAGATGCCAGTTTTTCTCATATGGCCAAAAGGCACTGGACCATAAAGCCACTTCCCCATACCACCTACTTCGTTTCTTCCTTGAGTCCCTCCAAAACAGTGAATAGCTGTCACTCTTAACCCTAACACTGTCTTGGCCCATTAAGCATCCAAATGGGTGCTGTCCACATCTATGCCAGCACCACTCCCAGGTCCCATTACCTTCATCACCACTACAGGTAACATCAATAAAGAGAGAACTTCTCTCAATGTGTAAAATATTGTTCATAATATTGAATCTTCTCAGCTTTTGCTGAACTAACAGCATTTCATTCAAAATTGTCTAGGTTTTATGATATTGTCTGACATTGTTATATATGTCAGTATATATTAATATGTATTCCATAAGTTATGTATATTCAATATCAACTAAGTTACACTACAACAGGATAGTCATCTGCCAGTGGTTGTTATGATATTCAGAGGCAATTAACTTAAACTAATGAATTAACATTGAAATTTATATTATTAATTTTACCACTTAATGGGGTGACTATTATTATCCTATATGCCAATCTGTAAGGAAGTATTTCAATAATACAACAATGGCAGTTATACTGAGGCATCTGGCTGCATGTTATCCCAGAACATAAGTACTAGTAGATTGTCCCTATGTTGAATGACAGGTTGAAGGTAATATTTTCAAAAGCTAAAGGGAGCCAAAACAGGTTTGGCTCAGTGGATAGAGTGTCGGCCTGCGGACTGAAAGGTCCCAGGTTCGATTCCAGTCAAGGGCATGTACCTTGGTTGTAGGCACATCTCCAGTAGGGGGTGTGCAGGAGGCAGCTGGTCGATGTTTCTCTCTCATTGATGTTTCTAACTCTCTATTCCTCTCTCTTCCTTTCTGTAAAACTCAATAAAAATGTATTTTTTAAAAAAAAAAAGAAAAAGAAAAAGCTAAAGGGGTACATAATTTTAAACAGAGTGACTTCTAAATTTCCTGCCAATAAGAAAATTATTCATGCCGAGGCCGGTTTGGCTCAGTGGATAGAGCGTCGGCTTGGGGACTGAAAGGTCCCAGGTTCGATTCCGGTCAAGGGCATGTACCTTGGTTGCAGGCACATCCCCAGCAGGGGGTGTGCAGGAGGCAGCTGATCGATGACTCTCTTGCATCGATGTTTCTAACTCTCTATCTCTCTCCCTTCCTCTCTGTACAAAATCAATAAAATATTTAAGAAAAAAAAGAAAGAAAAGAATTCATGTTAGTTATCAAGAAGTAGAAGCACAAAAGTATTTGATTTAATGCAACTCAGTGTTCTTACTACCATCAAATTATTCACCATTCTTATTTTGTATTTCTAAGTTAATTTTACCTTAGGGTCAATATAGCAAATGAAAAAACTCTGTCATTAATTCACAGTGACTTTAATAGAGTTTAGCCACCAGTAGTTAACAGTTCTACCATCATTCATTGCTCTTTGTTGTAACTGGTGGGTCTTTTTTCTTAATCCTCACCAAAGGATATTTTTCCCTTGATTATTTTATTTATTTATTTATTTTAGAGAGAGGGTAAGAGAGGAAGGAGAGACAGAGAGAAACATTGATATGAGAGAGACACATCCATAGGTTGCCTCCCGCACACGCTCCGACCAGGGGATTGAGTCTGCAACTTAGTTATATGCCCTTGACTGGAATCGAACCCAAGACCCTTCAGTCCTCTGGCCAATGCTCTATTCACTGAGCCAAACTGGCTAGAGCTGCTGGGTCATATTCTATTATCAAATGAGGGCTTGACCCCAATGTTTTAAAGTACAAAATCTAAAATACCACATTACATAATTATTATATTTATACACCTAGTATATATACCTAATATTTATTGTCCTTAGTAATTGCTTATTAATAATGTTTGGAGATCTTCTATTATGACAATGTTAGCTGATATAAATATATAGATTATCTTAAATGTCTAACCTTCCTCCCAAAGAAATCTAAATGGTTCTTGTTTTTTGTATGTGCCATAAATATTTTTGAGGATCTGGTGTAGGTTCTAGATTCTATCTCTAGAAAATTTATATATACTAGTACACGTAGGAAATTTTACATATAATTTTTTAGTGACCAGACTACCTTAAACCAATTCATAGAATCCCTAGTCTCATGGACCCGAACTCAAGAACTTCTTTGGATACATTGCACACAGGTACACATGCACATACCTGTACACGCAGTCATGTTCCCTTTCAGGGGACGATTGTGCTTAGAGGTAAGAGAAGAGCTTTGGAGTGAAACAGAGCTGGGTTTACATCCCACTTCCACCATTTAAGCACCTTGTAACCTTAGGCAAGGTAATTAACGTCTCAAAAGCATTTTCTTATCTGTGAAAGGGAGCCGGTATTATTTACCACCTCCAGGAGAAAAGTGCACTTAGCCTACAGAAATAGTACTTCCCCACCAGAAACTCTTTCCTTAAAGGGTGGTTTTGATAGTGTTACAGACAGCTAATCTAAAATGTGTGGTTTGGAGTTCTCATTTTAATTTTCTGTGCCCCAGATCCTCAATGTAAAATGGCTCACTGTGAAATGTTTACGATTGCATGTCTTACTAATGGAAGTAAAGAATGAGAATAATTTATCATCAGTGTAAAGGGGACAATCAAAGTTGTCCTGACAATTTTTAATAGCGTAAGTTAGAACAAATCTTCACCTTAGCTACAGAGAAAGTGCCAAAGGTGAGCTATAGTAAGAGCAAGAATAGCCTCTTCAACTGCCTTCATTTTTCTGTACAGAAATGTAATGCTACTAAGTTATTTCTGTATTAAATTGTGCTACAGAGTTGTGATTATTTTGTATTTAACAAAAAATATAATATTTCTTTACAAAAATTGTTTGAAGGCAAATAATTTTAGTAATTAAGGGTTATTGGAAATTTCTGTTTAATTATAAACAATCAACTACTTAATCAATCGAAGTATGGATGATCTTATAAATTCTTTACCTATGATCTATGGATAGTTTGGGGAATAGATACCTGTCCCAATTTTTTTCTTTGATTTTTATCCCATTACTGTTTTTAAAAAGCTTTATTGACATATATGTTACATACCATAAAAGTCACCTATCACTGTGTAAGTATCATAACAATCCAGCTTTAGACTTTGTGCTTCACCCCTAAAAGTTCCTTTGTTTCTGTTTTGCAGTCAATCCCTGCTCCCACCTTATATCCCAGGCAACCACTAATATACTTTCTGTCTCTATAGTTAAACCTTTCCTAAAAATGTCATATAAGTGGATTCATACAAAATGTAGTCTTTTGCATCTAGCTACTTTTACATATTAATGCTTTTGAGGTTTACCCATATTGTAGCACCTATTGTAGTTCTTTATTTATATCGCTGAGTAGTAATCGAGTACGTGGAAATATCACATTTTGTTTATTCACTTACCAAAAGGAAAGCATTTCAATTGTTTCCTATAATGTTGCTATCAACATTTGCTTATAATCTTTGTATGGACATATGTTTTCATTTTTCTTGGGTAGATACTTAGGAATGGAATGGCTGAGTCATATGGTAAGTATATACTTATCTCTTCAGTAAATTATAAAACTGTTTTTTCAAAGTGGCTGTACCACATTGCATTCCCAACAGCAGTGTATGTGTGTCCTGGTTTCCCCATATCTTCCCCAACACTTGATATGGTCAATTTTCTTGATTATAGACATTCTAGTGGATTGTTTTCCTTGTGGTTCTAATTTATATTTCATGGATGACTAATAAGCATTTTTTAAGGTTTTATTAACCATTCAAATATTTTTGTTGGTAAAGTGTCCAAATTTTTTGCCCATTCAAAAAAAAATTACTATTGTCTTAGTATTGATTTGTAAGGGTTCTTTTTATTT